AAAATGGTATCTTTCTACCAGTGGGATACCCAAACACACAGGGCTGGAGTCTATTTTTCCTGATCCATATCAAAGTACCTCAGCTTCTTCGGTCAACTTGTGCTTTGTTTGCAGACCAACGGAAGAACTGGAAAGTAATCAAGGCTCTCGACGATGGTGGCGTACTTCCGCATGACATCGACCAACTGTCCACCTGGTTTGTAAAGGTCGATCGGACGGTCAACCCAGTCAAGTCGTTACTCATGGGCCTGGAGAAGGGTGGTGATGGACGTACATATATTCGAGCAGACCAACCGCTACATCGCACACCTCCCATGAAAGATCTCAGCGTAGTCCATAGATAACACGAACAACCTATATGGAAACGGACTGTGCATGCTTTGGGCGCTCAAATGCAGCTTCTGCATGTGCTCTGAAGCGATAACCACTCGTCGCTCATCTCCCAGCATAAGACAAATGCAAGAGTACGGTTTACCCGCCTATTGTCCGATCACTCCATGATCAGGTGCAGAGACTGGAACGGGCTCAGCATGTAGCTACCATGTTCATCCCATCCTCAGCACCAACAATACATGTTGGGTGATGGTGAAAAACACATCTCAGCCAGCGTGCAACAAGACAAAAAGTAAAGATACTGCAAAGTACAGACTATACAAAAGGTTCAAAAAACAAGTAATATAATGTTAAATATCATTTTATGGGGTTGCTATGAGATGGTGATTGTAAGGGAAAATCTAAAGGGGAGGGGGTGAAGAGAAAAAGTCACAACACAAATGTCATTGGGGCCGGTTCTTCGTCTTATCAGGAAGTGCGTCAAACCAAGCGAGTGCATCCTGCTTAGGACCCCCGTCCGGATGCACCAACCGATGCCAACTTCGAACCTTCATCTCAAGTCCAAGGGCTACATCACATGAAAGCCAATTTAGGAGACTGGGGCTATTCACCTTGTCGAACCGTCGGTTTCGAGTGAACTTCATAATGACGAACCGGTTATTACATCTGGGCAACTACGGTGTGCTGAGGCCGCTGATGCGCAGGCGTCCACCAAACAGCACTCGCGTCTACCGGTATAGGATGGTGATGTCGGATCTGAAACGTGTAGCCCACCCTCTGTGCTTCGAGCGGCGGGTAGTGAAATAGTGGAGCAGCTAACTAGAAGCGAAATCGGTATTGAAGTAATTCCCAGACACCCACTTCGCGGATTTCAGATTAAGGGAGCGCATCGCAACTGTATATCCTATAGTGCAGCTATAATATGCTGCAAACGCGCAGAAATGAGTGACGTGATTCCGCATATATATATATATATATATATATATATATATATATATATATATATATATATATATATATATATATATATATATATAAAGCTCTATATGCTCAGTACTTATTACGTCTGCACTTGATACGATGCACATTATTATGAGGAGTGACAAGAACACTAACCGAAGCGCCTCAGCACACATGAAAACCAGGTAAGCACATGTAAATAACGAGCAATCAACGGAGAAACTGCAGTGGATCTTACCTAGACAACGGACGTCCCGTTTCGGAAAGGCTGCTAAACGAAGCCTCGAACAGTTGGTCCATAGCACTAATGTGTTCGATGAAATAGCGGTACTTCGCTGCGAACAAGGCCAGCACAAATTGGACCACTTGCTCAAACTGAGCCTGACCGCGGGCTATAAAGTTCAGTTGCTCTTCTACAGCCTTACGCATGTGAGGAAGTACCAGTTCTGGATCGATAGTCTGATAGCCGTGGACAAGAACGATCCCAAGGGAAGTCGGCTGTAGACGGCGACCAGGCAACAGCTACATATGAACACACAAATGAGAAGAAAAGGGAAGGAGTGGCGTCAACGGGAACATAGTGAGTGGACCTCAGTGTATACCGAGTGACAGTACGAAGCGGAGCGATGCACATGGTAGATAGGAACTGTCAGAGAAATCGGGCAGAACCTAGACTTCGGAATTAAATGGATCGATCGAAGTGGATCCGGGTAATGGATAGTAGCGCCAAGTATCACTAGCCAAGTATAATGTGCAGTAAACAGTGCCATCTAGTCTGAGAAAAGCACTAGTTTATGCATAAGGGTGTCCTCACTAAAGTGGCCTCTGCTACAACACTAACGAGCAAACAGCGGTCCTATCGTCACGTCGAGCCGATTTCGGGAGAGTGACTTAGTACAAGTAGTGTCACTAAGCACCTCCAGTGGGTGTATCACAAACACACCTTAAGTAAACACAATTCTGATCGTATCCTTGCTTGCACTGTACCGTAAAAGACACTTAGAATTAGCCACTGGATTAGTGAACGAGGTTGATTGTAACACACTTCGTAACGCAATACTGCACACATAGGTAAATCCAAATTCGCAAGTGGCAGGAGTTGTGAGCCATCATACGGTCGGCAGCTGTAGATGGGTCCTGTCGAACCTAGTCACCATACCTCATTGACAGTTTGTTTACGGTTCGGGTGAGCACAGTCAATGTGAGCATGTTTGCCACAGCGCTATTTTCAACGGTTGTCAGAACGAGCAGGGAGTGTCATGTGCGAGTAAAACACTCACAAAAATAGCCACAGCGCTTGTTTGCTTTTTCCTCATTCTGTTGCACCTAGTCAAACTATGAGTCCATCGTTCTCGAATAGATATCTACCATATTCTCCTGTGAAGGAGAGCAATGACCACACGCTCCCCAGGTTGAAAAGCTGATTAAACGTGGGGAGGGGTGTAAAAATTCTGTGAATGAGGACGATGCGGAAGGAATTCGGGATAAGGGAAAAATAAGCATATACCTGAACGTAGGATCGCTGGACGATATTTTCAATATGTGTGGGTATGGATGCATCCGTACCGATTCCGTGGCGTTCCATTGCGGTGATGAGCTCCGCCTCGGTTAGATAGTCCGGTGGCCCAGTTTGGCCCTCAACCAACTTAGGTTCCCCGGCCAGAGGAATTTCAGCACCTTGTACCAATGCCTCGTCTGGAAGGGACCGGTCCTCAATGGCTTGCCAAGTCAAGATGCGCGTGAATCCTGGATCGATAAGGCGAGTGCCGGTCACTGTAAAGAACTCCCCGTCACCGATGGATAGCAAAACCTGAGTGGACTCGTAAATGCAATCAGGCATCACCTTGAGAAAGAGAAGAATTACACGGTGTATCACACATATGGGAGGCAGCAAAGAAACGAGAATGACAGGAAAGATTAAAGTGCGCATCACTGCAATGTGAAAAAATCTGAGCCCGCGATATGACAATTTCGTGGTCGGTTGCGCATACATACAAATGTTGGGAGCATGTGTCAAGTGAGTTCATTCAATGCCGAACATAGGTAATGTGGCAGTGTCAATCAAACTAACCGCGTGTCCTGTGCAATAGCTTAAATCAACCTAATGGCGACGACAGAACCGATAGCATAGCAATCAATAGAAAGAGTAGTCACAGGAATAAACATAATTAAAGTCGCGAGTCATAGGGGGGGTCACAACAAACCTTAGAGGGTTGTGCTGCGAAGTGGCAAATGTACTTCGCTGCATCAAAATGAAATATAACGACTTATGGGTGTCATATAGAGGCAGGATTACTTCTGTCAGAGACTTAAGACGGAGGTATTCCAGCTCTCTAAATGTCAGCAAACACGCGAACTATGTTGTGACTAAAGCAATGCAAGTAATGGAACGTAGAAGTTAGTTATTAACGCTGAAAGGGACAGAACGCACGGCATATAAACTAAATATAAAGTCCTTGTTAAAGTGCTGCTGCGTTACGTTCAGCAATCTAAGTAAATGTTATTAGAATACCATAGAAAATGTTCAATGTGCCTTCAACAAACGCATCTACGGTCATTTCATACTTGTTTCTTTTAAAGAAAGATGCTGTGAGCTAAAATTCGAGCCTTTATGGCTGTGCAGATTGCACTTAAATCATAGCTTCCCACACAAAATTGTGTGGCAAAGTGCATAATAAACACCGCTCTACGCAATTCTGGTTAGAAACCAGATTTGAAATACGTGACACGGAATGTATGATTGTAGTGCCTTCATTCAGGACCACAGTCAGACAGAAGGTTCGGCCTGATATGGAATAGTCTGCCTAGCTGCATACGATGTACAAAGAACTTAAGCGTATTCAGCAAAATGATCAAGATTTTTCAGACATCAGAGAAAGTGATACAGATCTTAGATTTGCAAATAAAGAATGATAGATTGCAGAAGGGCCGGATCAAGCATGAAACATAAGGAGCACGGGAGTCGAGGAGCGAAAATGTTTTAGCACAAAAGGAAGAGGGCGATGTGATGACAAAACGAAAAGCAAATATAAGTGAGAAATTGAGATTATCAGCGAAAAGGGGCCTTCCGAGTGTTCGACTGATCTCACTTTATGAATTTCATAAAACCAATCCCATTTATGTGAGTAGTAGGCTCATTTTGCATCCCTTTTAGGTAATTTTTATGCACCTCTGAGACCAAATTTATTAGTCTAACCCTGTGATTGAACTACATCAATAGTCAGAAGCTAATCTCTGTTAGACTTCTACGCTCGTCCGCTGATTTCTTTTTTCTTTTTAATGTCTCCGCTGAACGGTCGACAATTTGTTCCTTAGGGTCGATTGTCCAGAATTAATGAACTAACTCTTTTCACATTCTGTAGGCTTTAATTGGTAGTAATTAGCGACAAACCACTTATAACCGCAAATGTGTTATAACGTGCATTAGGATTAATTTTATGATACCTTATTTGTTAGAAAACCCAGACCGGAGTGCAAAATAATTACTATCGTATTTGCCGTAGTATGGTCGTTATTCGTCAAACACTTCTTCATAATCTTCTCAGCAACCTTGGTCAAAATAGGCGTCAAACAAATTGGGCTGTAATTGTCTACTTTGCTTGAAGTTTTTATCTTTCGCGATCGACCTTACTCCATAAGCATTTCAAACTAATCAGCAAGGAACTTTTGGAAAGCAACTTGTTGAATAGACTAATCACAGCACGTGAGATGATAGCCGATAACAACTTGAGAACCAGTGGATGGAGCCCATGAGGCCCAACAGCCTTGGTGCCATCGACTTTGGCGAGTAGTTGATGCACTTATCCACGCCACAATCCACACTGATGAGTTTGGTAAGGGCAGTGAACGTGGAACTAGATACGGACACCCAGTTATTTGCAAACACGGAACCGAAATGCGCCAGGCAAGGTGGACGCATGCTCAGTGCTGGAAGTTAAAAGTTGTCCGTCCGCGCCCTCTATCATTGGTAGGTCACTTGTCGGCTTGAGGCGCCGCTTCACGTAAGAAAAGATGCACTTTGGGGCGGTCTTTGCGGCGGTTACAAGCTGTCCTTCGAAATGCCGACTTTTACCTGTTTCTCATTGTTGCAAATGCTTTGGAGTTGTTCATACACCTCGTAGTCGTAACTAATATTTTTATTATTTTTAAGTTCTCATGTCTCGTACTACTTAATTTCATTGTTAGTCACGACTGGGGTGATCTCTTGAGGTGACGGATTGAAGCTTCCAAGTTAATAATTATACCCATAAAAGGCGTATTGCCACAGCCTCACTGACGCGACTGCTTATGAACTACAGTGCAGTCATCTTTCTGACATAAAACAGAACTGCCATGCTCAAAACAGACGAATGATGGAACAAGCTGGGTGACCTCGTCAATAATAACATATGCACAAAAACAGCAATGAAATATGCTGAACAGGTGATGGTCTACATGCTATTTAGCCACACCGGCACACAGCCAGATGGAGCATGGGAGTGCGGACGAAACCTATTGATGGAATATCCTGCAAGTCTCCTGGAGACGGTTCGATGGATGGGTATATTAATTTACTTGGACATGTGGTTAAATCTGTATACGTTGTTGTTCCCAGTTTCTGAGTCTATGTAATAGCTTCGACCTGCCAATCCGTTCGGGATCCATTGCATAAAGCGTATGTGTGATCTCGTTTTACAGATTGATCAGATCTCTCAGCGCTTTGCATCGTCGAAGAATACACCATTTAGTTGTTTATTTACAACAAAAAGTAGCGGCGTGGGATGCAACAGAGAGGAGTGCACCACCAGCAGATGATGAAGGAAACAGGCTCAACTAGTCCAGTCCAGTTAATGGATACGTATACGACAGCCGAATTGCGATGGACTCGATGGCCTTCGCTAGCATCGTCCCAGAGATGAAAGGGACAAAACTGGCAGGAAAAGAGGCACAGAAGAGAAAAATGTCAGCAGGACTAGTGGAGAAGTGAGAAGGACGAAGCGAAGGCCAAATGAAGTGTCGGATGAACAGGTAAACAGCGCCACATATTCTGTGGCCGTACCAAGCCCCTAAAAGCTGGTAGGGCAAAAGCATGGTCCTTGATGGAAAATAGATATCTCACAGAGCTTCCCCCATGGGTCTTTTTCGTAACATCTGTCTGATTATGCTGGAACTTCAGATAAACAGGTGCAGTGTGTGAACATAATATGCACTGCGATGGCCGATTAGCAAATATGCAGAGAGATGAACTTAGCCAGAGGGCAATCAGCTCAGATACAAAGGATCGTTCGACGCAGCGCCAATGTTAGCTGATAAACCATAACTGGAGAACCTCAGCGTTTCTTACTCAGTGCTTCAGTAGGACTTGGGTGAAGCAATGTAAGCATCATTATATGTCACGGTAGCGTAAGATCCAAATTAAGGGTTCGAGTAGCCAGAGTAAGTGTGCAACGCTTTATAGTTCATCAATAACCAATCAAATAATGGTTTTAGAAGGGAAGGAACGAAGCCAAAGATCGCAGCTCAAAGAAGCTAGGAACTGCCCCGGTCTAGGAGCTAAGTGACTTCAAGAATACAGCCATAGATCTATTTGCAATGGTTTATTTTTGTGGAGGGCGAACATCCACGGGAAGGTATGTTCAAACGAAGAATGTGACTATTATCATTGGAGTCTATAATGATAATATCCAAGTACTTTTCTACGAGTGCTGGGCAATAAACGTTAGCCTCGGAAAGTTTCGGGATCTGTTTGAAATCGGACCATGGAGTTGCTTTAATGGAAAAAACTGGCAGACGGTTATGTGGATTCCTTTATTGTACAGACAGAGGATCACCCCTAACCGAGCTACTCATCCAATCAGTGAAGGTACTGCAGTTTTTTGCATGTGGTATGCCACAAACTGTTCCAGTGCGTAGGTCGGAACTCTCTCGAAGTGACCGTATGCATGGTGTTTGTTCGCAGAGGCGCACATAAAAGTTGGCGCTTGACTACGCACATCGGAACTGGAAGCTGTCAAGAAGCATGCGGGATAGCGTAAAGCATAGATCAACTTGGAAAGGGCAAGCATCTGGAAGAAAACGAACGTCAAGACTTAAATGATGCACTAAACCGGTTGTTACAAATAAAAAACCCAAAAATTCAAGAACGCGCGAGGCGAACGAAAACTTTGTTCTAAATACTGAATACTGTATCGTAGGAGCAAGTAGAAATTTGAATCTGTACAACTCCAGGGAAATGTGATCAAAAACGCAAAATAGCAAACTATGACTTATCGATACGTTGATCGTTTTTTTACGTTCTCACGGTATATCGTTACAAATCGTTTAACTCACAGTAGATTAGGTGTCAAAAATGTGAGACGCCGGAAGGAAGTCGTCCACGGAATCTACTATTTGGGAAATGCACATCCAATAATCATTTGAATAGCTGCACTGAATTCGCTTTCACTATATGCTCCTGTAAACGGTTCCAGGTACTTAGTACTCGCATCATATCTGGAACCACAAGCATGTATTGGTGTCCGCGTGTGTTGTAAGGCGTTCGAAAGTGGAGCAGTGGCCTTAGCATAGGGAAGTCACCTACATGTAGAATCCGGTAGGTCACGATGTGGTCGACACGTAACCGACGGTATGCCAGGGGTGAACAGTCTAAGTCTATCGCACCTGTCCTCGTACGGTAAGCCTCGCAAACTGGGGATGAACCTAGTAGTGACGTGTTGAACCCGTTCAATCTCCTGCGCCTCACCGCGAGTGGTCGGGCAGTAGGCAAGCAAGCCGTACTCTACCATTTGTCTGATGATGGAGGATAAGAGGCGAGTGACAACCTCTACAGACCAGATGCAGAAACTACGTTTGAGTGCTCAGACC